CTCTCGGCTTGCGCCCGCCACTGTGAAATATCGCGTACAGCTCTACCTACGTGCTGCAACGTGTAACTGCTCCTTAGAGCGGTAGCCATTGCCTCTCATTTTTTATCGACACTCACGCCGTCCGGATGTGGAATTCATTTGAAAAAGGAATAACGGCAACGCAACCCAGGATATGAGAGAACGGAGAGGATTGCAGATACGGGGCTTCCGTAGATAAATCTATTTTCTGCTTTCTTTAATCGCGATGCTCGCACGCGAATTAATCGGCTAAGGGAGTTTTATCCGATCGACTTCCCGTGGTCTGTAAAATTGAAAGGAAACCTATCGGCTGCCAATTATCCCCCTGGTGTCGAAAGTTGCTGGGATTCAGTTGGTATATAGTCAATTGACGCTGATTTTTTTTTGAGGTTAGCCAGGTCATGACATTCTTTCAATTTAAGTCGCACAGTCTTCTGGGATGTCTGATCGTCAATGAAGATTCCACGGTCTTGATCTAATATATATATAACCTTATACATGGCTATTGTTATATACATAGATGACACCTTATAGTCTAGTTTTTGTCGACTAAACTCACCTAATCTATCCATACTCTCACTTGGCTAACACTGATCCTGATAATAGAAAATTCCTGTCCCGTGGCTCTTGTCTTGGGTCGAACCTGACGGCTGCTAAAAGCCTTTCTCGATAAAGGGGTGCCAGCTGATAAGGTTAACTAAGTGTCAGAGGGTAATCACTGGGCCAATAGATAAAACCCACTCTACCCTTCCCCTATAGATAACAGCTTCGATCACATGTCGATATTCGAGAATCGCGTATAGAAGTCTTCCAAGTCCTATACTCTTTGAGATACCTGGCTTTAACATGTATATATGTATACACAGGTATACTATACTAACCAGCTCGAGCGTACGAACTGGTGTTGGCTTCGCTATGAAAATCAAATCTATATACACACGCGTATGTATCTACGGGTTGGGTGACCTGACTGGAACTTTATCAGATTTTGTATACGTAACAATTGCTTATCAAACGTGTTGCGTTTATCAGGTTGCTTCGATAGATGAGACAATCATTGCAATCGGTGAATACGGCCTGTCGCAATCGTTTGCGAATCAATTGGTAGTTGGGAATACGTAATGATGCATACGCACGTTGATATATATATATATATATATTAAATACTATCGTAGTAGGTATAGTTAGGTAAAGACAAACGACTCCGCAACGTCCGGTCGAGTGACTCATGTGTCAGACCCCTTGCTATACGCCCGCTGGCAATTACCAGGATTAATTGGCTAATGAGAACAGTCGAGGATACGACAAAGCAATGCAGAAACCTTGATTCACCCATTGGATCGTGTCCGAAGTTTCATTCGTTGGTCGACCGTTACGCTCGGTTTAAGTACAGGGAACGTGGACTGGTTAGTTTTTTTCCAAATTAGGTATCCCATCGATTATCGGTATAATTTTTTTTTTTAATTGACTAATTCAATAAATCGATACTGCTTATACGTCTTTTTCACATATTATACCTCTCCGTTACGTAATCAGCAATAGTACGGAATGATGTGTCTTCCCTGTATAAGACAGACGTCGGGTACTTTGCGTGCCGAGACAACGATGCTTCTTGCTCCCGTTGTCGAGAGACTCTGCGACTTATCCAGCTTCTTGGTTCCGCTCACATATGTCAATTCAGGATATGCATGGGAATACGTACGAAGATCCGCCTCCACATATGCTACCGGTTAAGCCTTTCCTCTTCTTCAATCTCTCGTATAGTCTCTCCGACCCTGCATTTATACATATGTGTATATATATATTGCATATATATATATATATATATGGAGTATCTAGGGTATTAGCATTGAGCTTAATTGTGTCCTAACGAATCGACAATATACTCGTATGGTTGAAGCGTTCGTTCACGTAAGGAACTTTGAACCGTAGGTTTAGCGTGGTGGCAGACTGGCTGAGTTTACGCTGCGAAAGTGGATGATTCACCGGGACGTATTATTGATTCGTCAGAATTCTCCGAGGATACCGGAGCCGCTTAAGCTTGCTGCGTTTACGTCGGGCTGCTGTCTGCACGTCTTACGCTTCTGTGTACCACGTGTACATATGTACATACGTACATGGATTATATACGTTGTCGGTTGTACAGTGTGGTATACCTACATAGGTATCAGTGTGCCTGGCAAGGACGTGGGCAAAAGAAGCTTTGAAGAGAAGTCTCTGGATAATTCTCTACGAGCTCTGCGAAACGTTGACTTTACGTTGCGATGTAATAAAGTGGTCATATGCATGTTTGACTTTGATTGAAAGGTACTCGGCACTTCTTTGTCTCTTAAAACTTGCGGCGAGTCTTTGATATGAATTATATGGGTCATTACGCTTTTTGAGGCTTTCGGGTGAAAGGGACGAGCGGGGTTG